GCAACGGCCGGTGCTGTGCCGATCTGAAGCCAGGAGCCAGGAGCTTCCTCCTGGTCTCCCACGTGGGTGCAGGGGCCTAAGGACTTGGGCCATCTTCTACTGCTTTTCCAGGCCACAGCAGAGAGCTGGATCAGAAGTAGAACAGCTGGGTCTCGAACCGGCGCCCATATGGGATGCCAGTGCTTCAGGCCAGGGTGTTAACTTGCTGCACCACAGTGCTGGCCCCAACCATGCGATTTAAAAACTATGTTTTTTAGGGAGAAATTGGACATTTTTCAGTGGGCTCTACATAGCTAATAATGCTTGGGAATTAAACATTTAGGCATTTAATGTTAATGAAACACTTGCTTAATAAACTCATATAAAGATTGGGAGGCCTCAGTTACTGGAACTGTGGGAAATTTTACAAAAACTTCACCATACAAAGTGGGTCATTAGACAGAACTTCTTAAAATTTTTAAAAATATTTATTTATTTAAAAGGCAGAGTGACAGGGAAAGAGGGAGAGAGGAAGGAGAGGGAGAGAGAAAGAGAAAGAGAAAGAGAAAGAGAGAGAGAGAGAGAGAGAGAGAGAGAGAGAATTGTTCACCTACTGGTTCATTGCCCAAGTGGCTGCAACAGCCAGAGCTGGGCCAGGCTGATGCCAAGAGTCTAGAATTCCATGTGAGTCTCCCCATGGATGGCAAGTGACCCAGTGCTTGTGCTATTTTCCACTGCTTTCCCAGGTATATTAGCAGAGCATGGGTTGGAATAGCAGCAGCCAGGACTTGAACTGGCAATCAAATATGGGATGCCAGTGTTGTAGGTGGTGGCTTAACCTGCTGTACCACAGTGCTGGCCCCTAAAATTTTTTAAGCTGCATTTTATATATCCAAATTTGAGAAGTATTTGAACAGCAAATATTACTAATCTGTAAACTCCATTAGATAATTAAATAATTCTTCATTTGTGTTGTCCCAGTGCCTTGGTCCTCATGATCTAAGAAGAGTGTAACTTTCTTCAGTTAGAACTAATCTTTGAGACAGATTGTGAAACAAAATTGTTTTCCCCAGTGATAATTGCTAACAGTCATAGGCAGCTTATTGTATGTTAGATGCTTTTTGTGTATTATCTCTAATCCTTATAGGAGTCTTAGAGAGAGGTTATTTCCTCCATTTTATGGGTGATAAAAACTAAACTTAGAGAAGAGACCTTTTTAAAAATTTTTTCTTTTTAAGTTGAGAGGGAGGCGGGGGTGGGGGGCAGAAGAGAGAAGGAGAGAGAATGAATCAATCTTTCACCCTTTTCTTTAACTCCTCAAAAGCCCCCAACAGCTAGGGCTGGGCTAGGCCAAAACTAGAAGCTAGGAACTTAATCCAGGTTTCCCACATGGGTGGCAGACACCCAACCACCCAAGCCATTGTTGCTGCCTCCCAGGGAGTGCTTTATCAGGGAGCTAGAATGGAGGGCTAGAACTAGGAGTTGAACCCAGGAACTCTGATGTGGGATGTGGTCATGCCAACCAGTGGCCCAGCTCTTGAACCAAGAGTTGATCTTCTTAAGCTGTATGCCCACACCTAGTAAATGTTAGATCAGGGATTCAAGCTGTATACTCTACTGTATCATGTACATCTCTGGATACAATCCTATTGTAAAGTATTGTGTTATTTTAGAAAGAATGGTAATAGGGAGAAATCAGTCTCTTTTTTAATCTTAAAAAAATATCTATGAATGAGTAGACAAAGGCTTGAGAAGGTTGTTGCTGTGTTGCAGGGATACAACCTCATTGAATTGCCTCTGATTTCAATGAAGTCCAAGGCTAAGTAGAGGAGAGTACACACAGTGTCATTAACATTGCCCATGTGGCAAGCCAGTTTCCATGATTAGTTTTCCCTTCCAAATTAAAAAAAAATACAGATGGGGCTGGTGCTGTGGTGCAGTGGGTTAAAGCCCTGGCCTGAGGCACTAGCATCCCATATGGGCACTGGTTCTAGTCCCAGCTGCTCCACTTCCTACCCATTTCTCTGCTGTGGTCTGGGAAGGTGGTGGAGGATGGCCCAAGTCCTTAGGCCCCTGTACCCATGTGGGAGACCCAGAGGAAGCTCCTGGCTCCTGACTTCAGATCAGTGCAGCTCCAGCTGTTGCAGCCATCTGGGGAGTGGGCCAGCAGATGGAGGACCTCTCTCTCTCTCTACCTCTCTCTATATAACTCTGTCTTTCAAATAAATAAAATAAATCTTTAAAAAATTTTTAAAAATTTTAAAAAGTACAGAAAAATTAAAATTAAGTCCTCTTTTCTCATGTACTGTTGAACTGGTCCTGTGCAAAGAACATAATGAAGGGGGCAAAAGGGTGCTGTTGAGTCAAATATATGATTTGTGTATTTTACTTCCCCTTTCTCCAAACTTTGTAGATCAGTTCTGGAAAATGAAAGTAACCATCTCAGATTCCTCTTCCAGTAGGATGTCCACTACTAAAGTAAATAAAACGTGCACTTTACAATTAAAATACCATTGTATATGTTGATGGTGAAGAGCAAGAGCTTTTCCAGTCCACCATCTCTCAACTCTGGCTATACATTAGGATCTCCTTGGAGTGCTTTAAAGCAGTCTCCAATGGGGCTGGCGTTGTGGCATAGCAGGTAAAAGCTGCTGCCTATGATGCTGGCAACCCATATGGGTGCTGGCTGCTCCATTTCCAATCCAATTTCCTGCTAATGCACCTGGGAAAGCTGCAATGGATGCCCCAGGTCCTTGCGCCCCTGTGCCCACGTGGAAGATCCAGAAGATGCTCCTGGCTTCTGGCTGCAGACCTGCCCAACTCCGGCTGTTGCAGCCATTTGGGGAGTGAATCAGCGAATGGAAGATTTCGCTCTCTCTTTTGGCCTTCCTCTCTGTAAGAGAGAGATAAATAAATAAATCTTACAAAAAAAAAAAAGAACTCTCCAAGCTGAATCCCAAGCAGTGATTCAAAAAAACTATACAGCTGCTTCTCTTACTGAGTGGTAGGGAGATGGAGAGCGTTAATGATAAAGAAGCAGAATGTCAAGGGCAGGTGAAATGTGCAGACAGATCCCCTCACAGGTTAGAGGTTCTGAGTGGCAATTGAGAGTTTTTACCAGAGCAGCAGGAAGTTGACCCCCAAAATTTCATTTTTGTCTATTAGTACATCAACTTTCAGTCCCCCAGAATCTACTTCCCCTTTTCTGATAGTACTACCCCACTTTTCCTTTGGGGAGCCACAGCTCACACTTTTTGCAATAGGATGAGGCTTATCTCCAGGAATAGAGATGATCACGTGATCCAGGACTGGCGATGGGGATTCACTTCAGATGTTCACTGTGTGATTTTTCAGAGATGGGCACATTTTCCATGTTTCAGAGACTGACTCCATCATCCTTTGCTGGTACGGTTGGGGTGCCCTCTTTGTAACTATGATTACTCAGCTAGAAGGGCGTAATTCTGAAGCAGTAATGACAATCTTGATACTACAAGGAAAAAGCAGAACCAAGAGATGCAGAGATTCCTTGTGATAGCATTTGAGCATCTGGATCCAGCCATGCCTGTAATTTTGGAATTTTTGGTTATATGAGCTAACAAATTTCATTCTGCCAGTTTAGTTGGGTTTCTGTCACTTGCAATGTAATAAACTATAACCACGCAACTCCTCAGTGGTATCAAGAAACAAAATGAAGGAAATGCTATACTGATGTTGGAGTGAGGAGTTCTTCCTGGAAATCTATATCTGTTCCCTCAAATAGCTAGCTCTGATCAACCCTCATCACATCTCTTGCCCCCATATAGTAGATTTAATTTTCCTCTCTTTGTGTACTCTTGGTTTTAGGGATAAACAGATTGTAGACCTTGTTATTTATCTCTTGAAGATGCATTGAGACTTAATAAGCTATGATACTGCTTTTAGGAGTCATTGGCACAAATATTCCACCTTAGCTTTGTGTCATGTATTTATCCAACACACATTGATTGAATTAACTCTATGTGCTGTAGGGTGGTTAAGACCTTGAATGCCAGGCTCAGGAGTGTTTATACTATTTACCAGAGGATGAACTTCATGGAAGGCCCTTGAGTGACATGATCCAAGCCTTGATTCAAAAACATTAACCAGACAGTAGAATGAATAGTGCCAAGAAGTTAGGACAAGGAAGGTAGGTTGGTGATTATTGTAACTGATGAGGACTTGAACAGGGGCTGGAAAGAAAGAGATAAATATGAAAAGCATTATATAAATAGATTCACAAAGCTTAACAATTTTGACTTTGGGGAAATAGAGCAGTTCTAGATAACTAAAATGTGAACTTCAGTTAAGAGAAAATGGAGATGCTATAAATCCATTTAGTTATGTGAGCATAGCCAAATTAACCTCTCTTGATTTGTCTTTTAATTTGTAAAAGTCATTAATAGTAATAGCTTAGTAGATTGTTATGAGACCATATATTTATTATTACCCTTCTGTACCTCTGGGTTCTGCATCTGTGGATTCAACTAACCACAGACCAAAAATATTTTTTGCAATTCTGTTTGTACCAAACACACACAGATATTTTCTTCTTGTTGATTTTTCCTAAACATTGGAGTACCACAACTGTTTTCATAGCATTTATATTATACTTATATTCAGTATTATAAATAAGCTAAGGTTGTAAGGGAGGACATGTGTAGATGATATGCAAATATAACACCATTTTACCTGAGGAACTTGAGCATCTTGCATATCTGAGGAGGGTACTGGTACCAATCCACCATGGATACCAAGGGCAACTGTATGCATAAGTCAGCTCAATGCTTGCTCATAGTGCATGCTAAATAAATACTAGTTTTCTTAATTAAGATCAAATAGCCTGTACTGTGCCAATTGTCTACCATCTTTTTATATAAGAAATATGATCAGTTCTTTTTCCTTTCAGATTATGTGGCAAGATAATAAAAACTTTAATTCTTTTTTTTTTTATTTATCTTTTTTTGACAGGCAGAGTGGACAGTGAGAGAGAGAGACAGAGAGAAAGGTCTTCCTTTGCCGTTGGTTCACCCTCCAATGGCCGCCGCGGCCGGTGCGCTGCGGCCGGCGCACCGCGCTGATCCGATGGCAGGAGCCAGAAGCCAGGTGCTTTTCCTGGTCTCCCATGGGGTGCAGGGCCCAAGCACCTGGGCCATCCTCCACTGCACTCCCTGGCCACAGCAGAGGGCTGGCCTGGAAGAGGGGCAACCAGGACAGAATCCGGCGCCCCAACCGGGACTAGAACCTGGTGTGCCGGCGCCGCTAGGCGGAGGATTAGCCTAGTGAGCCGCGGCGCCGGCCGAAAAACCTTAATTCTTAGCTCTTTGGAGTAGCAAACATGATATAGGATAGGACAGCATGGGTAAACTCATGTATTTATGGATTTCATGTAGATATCATGTTTTTTCTCATACCTTATATGTCATATCAATGGCTATTAGATTTGAATATTGCTGTATTATCCAGTGAGACTATTTTAAAGTTGATGTCAGGATATTGGTCTTATTATTTATTCTGTAGTAGTTTATATACTCAACACATCTTGAAGGCATACATGAAATTTATTGTGGGCTAAGCATTTAAAGGATAACCTAAAGCATACTACCTAAAACCATTATTAGTTTTATGAATCTATTCTAAACTACTTACCTGAATACTGTAGCATGTACTTTTCAAGGGAAACTGTTAATGAATGACTGTGTTGTTTTTTTTTTAATTCTTCTTGAAAAGCACTATTAGGTGAACTTACAGACCAATAATGTTTTGTTTTGTTTTGTTTTGTTTTGTTTTGTTTTGTTTTTGACAGGCAGAGTTAGATAGTGAGAGAGAGACAGAGAGAAAGGTCTTCTTTTTTCCGTTGGTTCATCCCCCAAGTGGCCGCTACGGCCAGCGCGCTGCACCGATCCGAAGCCAGGAGCCAGGTGCTTCCTCCTGGTCTCCCATGCAGGTGCAGGCCCAAACACCTGGGCCATCCTCCACTGCCTTCCTGGGCCACAGCAGAGGGTTGGACTGGAAGAGGAGCAACTGGAACAGAATCGGCGCCCCAACTGGGACTAGAACCCAGGGTGCTGGTGCCACAGGTGGAGGATTAGCCTAGTGAGCCGCGGTAGTGAGCCACGGCGCTGGCCATGGACCAATAATTTTTAAAATAAGGAATGGAAACAAATAGAATTGGAATATGATAAAAATAAATGAGGCTTCTTGGCTTGCTTATTTATTTTTGGTGAGTATAGGCCAAAGTTTTCAATTGTAGGCTTCACTTGATTAAGAACATTGCATATTATTCTTTTGGCAAAGCAGAATTTGTTTCATTACGTTGTTGGCTATAAGGGCACCCAGAAACTCTTTTCTTTGCTTCTGAAATGTTCTTTGTTTGCTGGTGGCTTTGTTTCCCTGACTGCATTTCCAGTTCCTTGGTAGCAGGGATTGTGTCTTATTGAAATTGTTTGCTTATAGTACCTATTTAGTAAGTAAATAAGTGAATGAGTTACTATTAAAAATAGTAATGGGTATGCAGTTAACTTCTAGATTTTTCTTATTATGGTTCTACCTCTTGCTTTCTTTTTCTTCTTCAGTTCTTAAAAAGGGAAAGTGGTACTTGTCAACTGTGTACTTCATGAGGGAGTGATATAACAGATACAAGATTCCCATGTTTGTGTCATGTGGCAGCAAATGTAATACGGAGGCAAATATCACCAGATATGAGGGAGCAATGCCCTAAGCCTTTCAATTTATAGGCAACCCAGGACATTATGCACACTATTAGCACTAAGTTGAATACAACCCTGAGACTCCATGTGCCCTGAGGAAGCAGATATCCAAAGTGATCAGATACTCAGATTCAGAAAAGGAGTATGATTTACGTCATACTTGCAAAGTGCTTTTTGTTACAGGAGATAGGACCCCCTACTTTTGTCTCTTGGTAAAAGCCGGGACTTTAATTTTTTGTTGTTGTTAAACTAAGGCTTTGGCGAAAGTCCATCTATCTGTGTCAAGTGGAGTGTTATGCAGCTCACATTTTTGGTTCACTAGGATGAAGGCAGGATTTTATCCTACCTATAAAGCCAAAATGCTTACTGAGAAGTGATAAGGAAGGGGTGAACCCATTTTCCATCCATGGCTGCAGGTTGAAAGTACTATAAATAGTTCAGTGCACAGAGCAACAGATACACTTTCAGAAGCAAGAGTCCTGGAGGTCATACAAAAAGTGGAAAAGAGATCCAACAAGAATACTAATATAACATCTATAAAGTTAAATGTATAAGGATATTCATTGTACTTCATAGGAAAGAAAAAGAAAAAGTAAGGAAATACCCAAATGTTCAGTAAAAGGGGAATGAGTCATATAGTCATCTACTTCTATCCATTAAAAACTGTATGTAGGCACTTAAAAGAATGATGTAGATATGTGTGAACTGACAATGAATAGTAGAAAGTAGGAAGATAACCAAAACCTGTAGCAGTAGGAGTGTCTAATGTGGTGGCAAGAAGGCCTTTTCCAGTTTTGCATTGTGTGGTTCTGTATTACTTGAATGTCCCACAGTGAACATTTACAAGATGATCAATTTTGAACAATTCTCTCCTCCTGGTACATGGAGAAAACTTTACTTGCTAACCCTCTGTACATACAGTGTAAGCACAGTCTGGAACCTGACATATTGACAGAAAGGAAGGAGAGGAAAGTGACTTGAGCAAGCACATCTGTTCTGTTAGCTGATGTGCCATAATTTGTAAACATAATATATTCCTATTTGCCTTATTTTTATGTTCTTTGAAGCATGAAAGCTAAAGAGCAGGTTGATTTAAAAAAAAAAAATTCAAAGCTTCATTTTCATGTACTTGAAAGGCAGATGGAGAGAGAACTCTTTCATGGCTGGTTCACTCCCCAAATGGCTGCAACAGCCAAAGCTGGGCCAGGCTGAAGGCAGGAGCCCAGAACTCTGGGTCTCTCACATGAGTGGCAGGGAACCCAAGCACTTGAGCCATGGATTCTTTCTGAGAGGGAAAAACAATTCTCATTTAAACATGAAGCTCTCCGTTGGTCAGTTGGTTATGTCCTTGAAAGTAGAGGTCAGCGTCCTGAATCAAACTGTGCCTTCAGCTAGCATTGTGACCTCAAATTGAGTCATTTAATCACTAATCTCTCCGTTTCCCCACCTGTAAAATTGGTAATAATAGTTCTTACCACCGCATTCCTGGGTGGGGTGTTGTGAAGCTTAATAAGATCATGTTTGCAAAATGCTTTGAGCTCCTTAGGTATAAGAAGCAGTATAAACACAAAGTCTCATTAAGGTAATTACACAGGTATTTTTCATAGTTCAAGTTTATATCCAAGGCAAAAATGTAGTCATGGAGGTCATTTTATGGGAACAGGGTAGGAGATTGGCATTCAAAACCTGAAAATGACATTCAAAACACATTTTGAAAAATAGAGTGGAAACATTGGTTTGTAGACTAGGAGAACCTAGTTTGGAGAGATGATTAAAAAATGAAAATAAAAATAAATCGTTAAGTTCCATCTTGAACTGAAAACGCCTTTTCTAAAGCAACATGATCACCTCTGTCCCCTGAAAGAGAAAGAAAAAGGAAGCTCTTCACAAACAGTGTTGGTTTTCACAAAACGTTTCACCATTAATATGACTGTGAAGCGGTGAAACCTGTCTGGCCCACTGTGCGTACAGAAGGTTGACTCATTAATGCTTGGCAGAGCCTCTTCCCAGGTGGCACTGTACCAGAAATTCTGGTGATGGAGCCGGGGAAGCACATCCTCTACACAGTTCCTTCTTCTTAGGCCATCCTGAAAACCCATCATGTTTACTGCAGGCTCTCCACCCTTTGGCACCATGGGTGCACGCTACCACTATAATCCAAGATATGCACAGTCAGTTTCAGCTCCCAAGATTTGGAAGTGTCGACACAGGAGGTCAGTAACCCCAGAGGAAGGTAAGCTTGAAAGCAGAACCTCTGCTCTTGGTTGCAGACGGCAGCAAGTCGTGTGTTTATTTAAAATAGAGACATCTATTTAGATGATCAGTATTGAAATTCCTCTTAGTAAGTACTTTTATGTTGTTGGCTTTCATGGGCTGAACTATGAAAGACAAATTCTTGGTGAAAGGTCATTGGCATATGAGTTGAATTAGATATCCTCGAGTTGTAAACTGGAGGGGTGCTCATACCATCTGAATTTTAATATTTTCACTTGATTATGGTGGCAAAACTAATAAATGTGTTTATTTTGTGTATGAAAAGAAAGGTTTAGGAATAAGCTTTACTCTGGAGAGGTTATAATTATCATAAAGATTTTGAGTAAATGTAACCATTTCTGTGTTTGAAGTAAGATTTAATGCCATTTTTTAAAGAGAAGTTGATGTAATAAAATGCTATATCAATGTCAGGAAATATTTAATACCAATTATTGGACCAAAATGTGTGAAAGCATTTTGTGTCTATTATTTAATATGGTCATTGTTTAAATTATGCTATTTATTTTAATGTTTAAAATATTTGATATATTATTTAATATTTGTTATACTATTAGGATGTGAAAGGAAGGGATTTTCTAATTTGTCCTTTCCTATAGGAACTGTCCATTACTATCAAATGAATTTTTAATTTATTTCTATGAAGCAGAATATTTAACTTTCTATTCTAATTAGAGAAATTAAGAAAAATAAATTATGTAAAATAAATTAATTTCAGCCTTAAGGGAGAAATTGACCCTTTTTTAACCCTTCTACTTCTATTTGCTGGCACAATCTCTGTTTTTCTGTTTTGTTCTAATCTTTTATATGGACTTCCTGGTATGCCTTTGAGAATCTCTGTGTTTGAAGGGGACCATTAATGGTTCCAATGGACCCAAATGAAGTGGATATTAAGCTATGAGTATAATTATTAATAAAACAAATAAGACTTTCCTTGAGTTGTAATTGCTGAGTGAGAACTAGTAATTAAAACACAAAAAGCTGAAGTTTCCCATGGAAGATGTTAGGCAATGAGTCAAATAATTTTAAGTTTGCAAACTACATTTTGTGATTCATTAGTATTTTTGAGAAATACATGCACATATATTTACGTTTGCTCAGAATTCATATGATTTTATTTTATGAAAAATTAGAAATATTTTAGAAAGATGTGTATATAAATCCACAATATATTGTATAAAATTGTTTTGATTTGAGACACCAGTATTTTTTTCTTTCTAGAACCATAAAAAGAGTATTATTCCCTTTCCCTGCTACTACCCCACCACAAATAACCCAGAATATATGAAGAATAGTCATATGAGTGCAGGGTATATCCAAATTTTATTCAATATTTACTCCAAACACTAATTTATATGGCCTTGAGTATATTTTAGAACCATTGCTTGCTTGAACTGCTATTCCTTTTAAGGGGATATTAATCTTTGTGTCTTTCCTATATCATTGGGGTAGTGCGGAAATGCTGTTTGCTGGATGATGACTGCCTCTAGTAGATATGGACGAATCATCTATCAGACCCTAATGTTGTTTACTTATTAGAATCATTGAAAAACTTTTATTATTTTAAATTTCTTATTCTATATATCTGTAAATTTTGATCTCCAATGCAGACTCACTAAGTTTATTGAGGTTCAAGGAGAAAATATTCAGTTTAATACATAGTTGAGATTTTCCAATAGCAATTGTCAAGGTTAAAATGTTTGGGTGAAAAGATGTTCAACAACATGTCCCAGTTGAATAAGAATACTCCAAGAAATGAATGCTGCCTTATAAAATCCCACAGCCTCTGTATTTCTCAAACATGCCAATCATCGAAATACAGCTATGATTTCTATACCCTCCAGATTTTAAATTACTCTTAAGTAGATGTAGGATTTCTGCATTGTCTTTTTATATCAGGAAATTACATATGCTTTCGTTGTTACTGCCAGAATCTGAGGGCGTATAGCTTCCAGCAGTAGCACCTGGATTTGTTTTCTTCTTTCCCTTTTGGGGTGGGGGTTGGGGGCTCATGAGAGCTATTGGAGGGGAGTAATTTCTTTGTCAACACCCAATAGTTGAAACATGTTTCATATATTACTCATCCAGAAACTCTGCTAGTAAAGACCTGTCCCTTTGCACTACTGGACTAAACTCCAAACTAGACCTTTTATTTTCTCCTCCACTGTTCCTAAGCTCTGGAAGTAGAGATGATATCCCTGGATCTAAAACTAACATTAATTTCAAATAGGATGTTTTCCAGCTGCAAGATCACCCATAGCTCATTGATTTATGTGCCATGCTTCGTGGTAGTGTTAGTAAATATTAGTGGTGGTAATATTAGTAATAACAAGTATTTATTGAATGCTATATAAAGTACAGTAAGTATTTGATCGTGTTCAGTCTTCACAAAACTCTTTGGGCAACCTCTATTCTCTCCATTTTATGTTCTTTCAAATTTTTTATTTATTACTTGTTTTACTTCTGAGACAGACAAACTGACAGATGGAGCTCCCACCTACTCTTTTACTGTCTAGATGCTCACAGTGAGTGGGCCTGGGCCAGGGTCAGGCTGATGCCAGATGCTAGAAGCTGAGAACTCAGTCCAGGTCTCCCATGTCAGTGGCAGGGACTCAGCTACTTGATCTATCACCTGCTGCCTGCCAGGATGGGAATTAGCAGGGAGCTGGAATTCAGAATAGAGCTGGGACTAGAATCTAATCACTCTGATGTGGGATGCTGTTACCACACTATTCTATATGCTATGCTAAATGGCCACCCCATCTCCATTTTAAAGAGAGAAAACCTGCCCAAATTCAAGTGAAAGTTAACCTTTCTGAATCCAAGGCTTGTAGTCTTTCCTTCGTTCTGTATTTCTCATCAGAAAAAAATAACATATCTTGTATTTTGTGTCTTACAATCATGCTTGGGATTCAGTATGAATTCACCCTCTACACTGATTTATCACAGGTATCATTGCTGGAAGAGGTTGGAATTGAGTGCTAAGTGGTGGGCAGCAGTGATTTTATCCTGGGAAGTTTAGTGCATTTGCAGATTTTTTTCAAGTTTTGTTCTTTGGTGATGCCAGAATTAGTGGGAGCCAAGGATATGTTAAAAGAGTTCCCCCGGTCAAGATGTAATGGGAAGGATAAAATTAGGTTTCCTAGTCAACAGGTGAAAAAGTTGTCTTTACAAGTAACTACTAATATTTTAAGGAAAATCATAGCACTAACCAAATACCAGGGACATGGCTAAAAATTGGGAACTTCCATTCTAAGGTTAATCTCTAATCTTCCTGTCTATACCTTTAAGGTTAGAGACTATACTTCATTCCACCCCAAGAACACTCACTAATTCTTACAACTTCCCAGAACTACCTGAGAATCTTACTGTTGATATTGTTGCAAGCGGTCCCATGAAAGAATCTGGTTTAAACTGATAATGATGAAAATGGGCCTGTTGGTAGAGGTCAAGGTGGTGGGAAATGCTGCCATCTGAAAAATCACTTGACCACAAGGATTTTAACAGTCAAGCAGTGATGCAGAAAAGTGAGCTTTTTTAAAAATTAAAAAAAAAATTTTTTTTGACAGAGTTAGACGGTGTGTGTGTGTGTGTGTGTGTGTGTGAGAGAGAGAGAGAGAGAGAGAGAGAGAGAGTTATAGACAGTGAGAGAGAAACAGAGAGAAAGGTCTTCCTTCCAATGGTTCACTCCCCTCGTGGCCACCACGGCCCGCGCTGTGCTGATCTGAAGCCAGGAGCCAGATGCTTCTTCCCGGTCTCCCATGTGGATGCAGGGACCCAAGCACTTGGGCCATCCTCCACTGCCCTCCCGGGCCACAGCAGAGAGCTGGACTGGAAAAGGAGTAGCCGGGACTAGTACCCGGCGCCCCAACCAGGACTAGAACCCAGGGTGCCAGTGCCACAGGCGGAGGATTAGCCAAGTGAGCCACGGTGCCGGCCAAAAAGTGAGCTTTTATACAGTGCCTGAAAACATGGCCAGAAGTAGCAACATGTCAGCTGAGAATAGATTCTAGGGATATGAAAGGCTTGAAACATGAGGAAGAACAACAGGTCTAGAGGGAAAAGGTGAGCTGTTCCAGACAATTACTTGATGCAGGTGTTGTGCACAGCTGGACTTCAGGTGCTCAGTGCACTGTGGCTGTGGTGTGTAGGAGAACCATGTGCATTTAAAAACAGAGATAGGAGGAGTGGGTGGGTATATGTGAGGGAGGCGGGCAATATACTGTCTCTTCCTGATCCAGGTATTTCCGTGACTTGTGGATGAAACCCAAACTCCTTAGCTTTCATGACATGAGCATTGCCTACCTTTCCCATAAACAGCCCATTTTCCAATTTTTTGAAGCATATACTATCTTATGAACGCATACATTCTTTAATGGGTAAATATTTCACATGATTTTCCCAGTGAAATTTTAACCTCAGTATCAAGTATTATTTCTCATAAGTATCCCTTTCTTGACCTCAGCTTCTCAGCTTCCCATTTTCCCTTTAGGAGCACCTTGGGTAGCTCCCTCTTTATTCCTTTAGTGCTCTCCTTTAATGTTTACATTCCAAGAATTTGTTTAGTTCTTCATTTTCCACATGGGGGCTGGGCTCTTTGAAGACAAGAATTTGTTTTATTTATATTTGTATCACATAATTCGGTGTCTGGTAGAGTAGGTACTTAATCATCATTTTGACTGAATGGACAAATGAAGTTTTTATGACCTTGTAAATGTACTTGTAAACTTCATACATTGATCATATATTGAATTAAAGATGAGCACAGGTCACCATTTATCTTCTGCTGTTTGCTCAGCAACGAGACTCCTACACTTGTCAGTGGTTGGTTGAACAGTAATTATAGAGATGTTTGCATGTTTTTAAACATGAATAGGCAAAACAAGAGAGACCAAAAAGACCTCCAGAAGGCAGAATCTTCTTACCTTTAACAGCTAATGCGGAATCATTTTAATTCATTAA